CCAGATTTATCTGTTTTGAGCGGAAATACGGAAATCAGTGATATTTGGGCCAGTAAAAGTTTATTTAACTCTTGGTATAAAAATAAATGAGACGATAATGATTGGATGCACATCAACCAAAGAATAGTGATGTCAAGATAAGTCCACTGATAACAAATGTCACAGAAAGGATTTATAGTGGACAACACTACATCCTTAACGGCATCCCGAAACAAACATGACAGAAATTACTATGTGGTTTATGCTACATTTTTATTCAAGTTAATGTCTCATAAAACTACTTGACCAGTAGAAGAGATAATAATAATAATTAAGAGATTGGTAGTTTAACATTGCTGGTATACTGGCCAGCGTAGTTTCCATAGGGCTCATATTCACATGCGATGTGAACCTTGTTGTTGCTATCCAGGGCATAGTCGCATCCCAGTTTAGTACTTTCAGCCCACACCACTTGTGTGAAATGACCTGAAAGAGGCAGAAACCGCATATTATCATTATACACTGTACTAGCATGAAATAAATTCGATATTTCATAAGATGCCCCTTCACATGCCAAAGTGTACTTATTCTCAGAAATATTATGTATACTATAAACACATGGGTTCACATAATCTAATAGTGGGTGTGGGAGCAGACAATCGACTTAAAGCTGCATTCACATTTGAAAGCATCGTATTTCTCACAAAACAAATATTTTTCCACAACATTGAACTTTGTCGTGTAGAAATATATCAGGGAACATATATGCAAAGTGGAAATGCATCGTTGTGTTTATTTTGGTCCCAACCCAGAGATTGAGATCTGGGTTTTAGCTAATGTACAGCCATGATTTATGATGAGTGAGAATACTTATTTCCTTCATAATAAAATGCACGAGAGGCACGGATTGAATGACCCGGATTATGTTGTGTTTCAGAATCATGCACGCTCATGCATGCTCCACTTACCAATAACTCCAGTACTGCTATCAGGGTCATTGTAATTGTAGTCTGCAATCTCATCATACCACATTTTAGTGATGCCGAATCCTGAAAATAAATTGAGTAGTTCATCACTGTTATGTTTATAATGTATCAATAATATAATTCATATAAATTAGTTATTCAGTTATTCCAGATGAACTGTTAAATGAAACAATATTGACTATTAGCTTATTTAATATTTCATGCAATATAATCAAATTAATATATTCAATTTAATTATAGTACCTGTTGCTTCTGAGATAGAGCTTGATATCATAGCTAAGTTTTCACCGGAATATGTATGCGTTAATGTACCGGCGGCGGCGCTGTTTGCAGCGGCTATGGTGGCATCAGAGACTGCATTTTGCCAAGTCGTCATAGCAGCGACACCGTGAAGACATCTGAAGTAGTTGTGCGCTTCTAGCATCTGGGCTTGCAAGACGTCAAGACCACCGGTTCCCACTTTTGGCTGATTTGGTACTTGACACTGACCAACCGCGTTTCCGTAATCTACTGAATAATCTATGGACGAATAACAGATAATAAAATGTATCATAATATAGTTTACGTGAAATGTTATTATCTAGTGTAACAATAAGAACTGAACAATTGTAAGCATAAATAAATGTTGATCATCCAAATTATACTTCCTCTGTCAGTAGTGAAATTTGATATACTTAATTATTTATCTACGTATGAGGATATATACTTTAATTCTTAAAATATATATTTCTAAAAGAATTGAAAGTAACTGTAATGAAACGATTTATGTTACCGATTAGTGGCACATAACATGACTCATTAGTGCATTCTAGTAGTACATCACAATATATTGTCACACTCGAAAATGATAATGATTCATTGAGTGTTTGTTTAATACATACCACATGTGTACTCGTCGCTGTCATCACTACATTGAAATATTCCATCACATATCTGACCATCTGAGATGCAAAGGACAATACCGGCTGTTCCCATTGTTGCGCAGCTGTAGGGATAGTTGCTTGGGCACATGGCGTTCAGAACTGGCACTTCACTGGCTAAAAAAAGAATGTTTTATATATCTTTACTCTGAGTCGATGGAGATCCAGTAGAGCTTTTGTTCACTTAACATTATTTGAAAGCTCATGCTGTATTGTATCATGTATTGCTTACATTGTCAACTGTTGACACTGTGTATTGTTAACTATATACAATGTGTATTGTGTATTCAGCCCCCCCCCTCATAGCCAGCAGTTAGTAAACACCCCTTGAAATATCTTCCTTGTACACATCAGTGTTATGTTTTTGTATGGGAATTATATTCATGAATGAAGTGGAAAAACAGAATGCATAGGAAAAACTGTAAAATGTATAATCTGCTAGCCGTGTTCGGAAATGTTTTGATTTCTTCTGTCAACCATTTTTAGTACGTGTTTTTCCAAAAAACATTATTGTCTACTATCCGAAATGCACAAATACCACAGCAAAGTGAAGTACAAAGTACAACACCTTCTTGAACTTTTTTCAAATGTATTAATATGATGTTTATAGTTATGTTGGCTTTTGAGATATCTTGTCTCTTATGTTTTATCCTTTGTCTGTTCAACCTGTGTTATTTATGTTTGAACAATCTAAAGTGACAAATCAGTGGATATTCCCTTTTTGCTGTTTTCTCGTGCTCGTGATCAGCAGAGTATAACAATACTAATACAAGAAATTAAATTTGTAATGAATATTGTTAGTGAATTTGACTAATAGCAAAATCTTTTCTTTTCACGGATTACGACAGTGCCGCAATTGAATATGCTGAAAATGTACGTATTTAAAAAAATGCACAGACTTTTGAAACCCTTGAGTTTGTTCAACAGTCGAAAATGATATACGGCGTTATTGAATAATATTCGCTTCTTTCTGTGGTCGCTTGCTTTCTTACTTACTAACACGACCGCCTATTTTTACATTGATTATTTTTACGTGTCCGATGTAATGTGGGTATCTGACCTTACTATGAAATAGCAACGTCAAGACTAGAGGGTGATAAGTATCTGCTGTGGATGGTTACGTGAATTGGATTCCTCGGTTCAGCAGTAAGTCTTACTTATCGTGTTTTAGATGGATGACCGACACGGTATACCAACAGGAAGGAAGAAACTCTTACACTACTACTATAAGCATCATTTCTATTTTATTGTATTAATTTTCGATGACTCGTCCTAAAAAAGAATTACATTGTCTCCAGGTCATTTTATTCGGACCCACCGGCGGTAGATGGTTCAATCTCACCAACGTCGATGTGTGTACTCTGACATGCGAGTACTCATCACATATTTGCCAGATATAAATATTAGAAGTTATGGCAATATACACTGTGTTATGCTAATCCACACTAGGTGCTAGCTAGGCTCGCTTTCCCGAAACGAGTCTGAACCAACAGTATTCTTATGCGAATTAGGTAAGGGTAACTATTTGAAGACGATGAAAAGGCGTTTTGCCTTATTCACGACAAATACACACAGGAAAAACAACGATGCATTGTATCGTGATTGATTTACTTATTTATATAGCTTTTTGAATACGCACGGTGGCCGTGAATATGTAGATGTACAGATATAGGTCACACAACTTGTGTCAATACGAATACGCAGTACAAATTTATTGCATTTTTTGTGAGGTTGGATATCACACTCTCACAAAACGACTCATTTTGCAGTAATAAGACCCGCTATGCGTTGAACTTACGAGAAAGCAAAAACATGATGACGTACGAATACAAGTTGTAATAGGTTCGTCATTAATCATTCGACAGGTCACTTTTAGTGGTTAAAAAGTGGTCAGTTTCATCAAATTCATGTGAACTTCTCAAATATTTTCAAATGAATAGTAGTTCTAAAACTATAATATAGATATAGAAGTTGTAATTCTCACACAAGACTCAATTTAACTACTTCTTCAAAGTGGGATAGAGAATTGTCACTGGAACAGTTTGTAATTAAACAAACCAGGGTTTAGTCCAGCCTGGATTTTAACCATCAGGATTTGCAAAATTTTAGTTTTGTCTTGTAATTCATTTTGATAATCAAATTCACCTAAATTTCTCTTTAAATTAAATATCTATGAATATATCCTTTTGTTTATAGATATGCTAATTTTGTTGTGTAAGTTTGAAAGGTAAGCTGTTATAAGGGTTAAAGTGGCTGGACAACAGGAAGTGCTTGTCCACAGCCAAGCTTCATATGATGACATCTATTTAAACAATGTGTTATCAGTATGGCATAAATTTTTGAATTCAGTCTGATCTACAGGTAAGTTTAAAATAGTTTCTCATTTAATTAATCAGTTATAATTCGACACTTGGTCAGTTGGCATCAAAAGTTATCAATATATACCAATATTCTCTATTTCAATTGAATGTATGTTTCGACAATGCCAAATTGTATTGCTTTGCTGTACAACTATTTGAGTTATTTCTATGATTGAAATAATTGTATAATAATAATTTAAATTTAAAACGCTGCTTACTTTGGCACCCTTCTTCGTCCTCGCCGTCCGGGCACTCATTGCGTCCGTTGCATACTTGACACATGCCATCACCGATGCTACCACTACAGTAGAGACACATCATTTGATTGTTGCAGGCATAGGGATAATCCGAGCCGAAATAACTACTACACAAATCACTTGCTAACGACGAAGCATCGCGTCGATTTCTCGCCATGGCATTGCCATCAACGATATCTGCACGCTGTGAAAAACAGAAAACACAACATATCCATGGCGTTAAAGGGGCAGAGGATATCTATATTTGGTATTCGACTCTTCTTTTAAACACGGCCATGGAACTGCTATAGAAAAATGAGGTGAACACAGGAAACATGATGGGAAAAAATACGCATGCGTACACCAGCAATAAGCTGACTTTTCATATTGAGAATTTTTCGTCAAATTAAAATTTTAATATAATTGTTTATAGATAAATCGAGACGGGGGATAGCCATGATGTAGAAATTAGAGGTTTTATGTGATGGTATTTGTCAATTCCAGAATTGTTTCTCCATAGCTTGGAAGGGAAGATCAGCATCCCTTCTTAGTAGAGTTGAGTTAGTAAATTTCATGCCCGGTAACTAAATACAATTTATTTGCGTAGAATCATCATTCACTTTGGAGTAAATGTCTTTGTTGAAGTTCAACTTAAGGTAGCGAGAAAGATTTGATGACGTTTTTGAAAACAACATTCTCTGTCTGTTGTCAAATTGGGCAGTCGTTGTTTATATATTTCTCACGGGACAACAAAAATGACGAACAAATTCGCCGTACTCACTTAACCAACACGTAACGTAATAGAAATGGTCATTTCAAACATTTGACCCTATCTGATGAAAGCAAGAGTATGTTCACAATCCTAACATCAATCGTTGATAGATGTGATATGACAGCGTCATCATTTTTTTTCAAGCAAGGAATAACATGCTTTATATTTAAACTGTTTAAAAATAATATCTGAATAAACAAGCATTTCATTGAATTTTAACGAATACCAGATCGACTGACATATTCCTCCTAAAATTCCAAAACATATTTTGTTTTATGGCCAGACAAACTATTTTTTGTAAACCGTTTAAAATACGATCAGTCTGAATATTCTCGCTGAAATGTGCGTTTTAGTTTCAAATTGCATTTGAGGATTTCGCTACTATTGCTTGCAGATTTACTGTTAGGATACGTGATAAAACTAGTCCATAGTTTAGTTAAAATGTTGCAAATATGTTTATAAAACCGTAAGTAAATTGACTGAATATTTATGTGTATAATGGCAGCCAATAAAATAAAACCGAAACGCCGGTTCTGAAAACGGCGTTCCTTTATGCAAATAAATAGAACGCGCCAAGATGTTTTTGCTGATGAGACAGATGGAAATGCATACTTGTGGTAAATAGTATCAACATTTGTGACCGTGTAATATCGTTTTATGAAACTCATTCAGTAATTTTCCTACGTTTTTCGCCAAATATGTTAGTAAATAATTCGGAAAATGTGATTTACCTTCAGAGTTAAAGCAGCGTTGACAATCCCAAATACAGTTACAGCGATGACAATTATCAACTTCATAATTTCGATGAACACCAACAGGTCTATGGCTTTTACTTGACACCTTGTCCTTATTTTATGCATATTTGGTGGACTACGCCACTAATACAAGGGCAACATTCTTATTTGTAAAGCTGCACTTTTCGCACTTCGTATTATATTGTAATTGTCATAGTAATATCATAACATACATATTCTACTACTTAGATACGATCACTCAATATCGAGCAGTCTAAGAACTCCGTATACTGTTCGTATTATTTTCCATCATGCACAAATCCCTTAAGTTTAATAGAATGATCTAACAGTTTGTCAGTTTTTGCCGGTACTACCTGTAACGATAAGTAAATTGTTATTTTAAACTTAATATAATCGTGGTGTTGTTTCATAAATTAAAAAATAATACGCATATAATATTGACAATTTCACGTTATAATGAGTTTCGATCTCATAAATAGAACAAACATTGTTCAGGCTATTGATAACTAAAATACACGCACCTACATACACGTACACTTTTGTTTATGGAGCTATAATTTACATTTTTGCACTTTATCAAATCAACACAATAGTTATTTTGATATTTTCCCAATTACAAAAGCTAGCAAAGCATAGATCTCGTAAAAAGCTTTGGGGTATGCTGTTCGCTTGACAAAAGTATTTGATCAACACACTAACGTTATATAGATTGAAGTATTCTGCTTGAAGTGAAAGAACGCAGTTTTCGGTTAGCATCAATCTTTTGAAATATATCCCTTTTCGATCTTAAATTTACCATAGTTAGCCGAGCTGAGCACTCCAAACTAATTCTAATCCGGGAGCACTATCATGTACAGACTGCATAAGACAATACTACATTTTCGTTGACAGTGTCTGCATTGTAGTATTATTATCATACCACCAATTTGAATGGGCTGTGACATACGTACTTCAAAGAAGATAAGTATAGTATTGTTTCGACAAGAAGATAATTACATTCAGTAGCTAAACTGCCTACATTTCTTTTGTTTTTGTTAATTATAGGTAAAGTTAATAACGAACGTAATAAATGCATGATTGTCTGTAAATGCATATCAACAATATATAACAGTGTCCGTTCCCGACGACTAGTTTCTATGACATGAGGTGTCTCAAGTTTATCACTAACGTTGTCGATAGAGCAGGACATCGTGACATCGTGCCTTACTCTTTGCCCATGGAGAGTGTACCGCTATCTGATTTGTTTTAACCTTGGAAATACAAACCATATTATAACCAAGATATGTCGTCAAGATAACGTAGCATTAGCAATGGTGAACAAGATGATTCACGTATTGTTGTTATTTTGTCATGTCATATGTGGAGAGAGTCGACAAGCGTAGGCCACACTTTATATCACATTCCGTCAATTATGTTTATGCACACATATATACGATTCCACTGTCATGATTTGTTAGTCCCCGTTTCAGGCGCAGCCTGAAAGGCGGATTATTAATTCTTATCTCCAGTTTCCATCTGTGATGAAACTTGGCAGGTTGATGAACAAATCTCTGCCAAATATGCACGTAATTTTTTTTTCTTTTTCATGATTTTCATTCAATACTACCCCTCTCAACACAACTGAGAGAACAACTGAGCATGCTCAGAATAAATAATTAGCTTAGATTGTAATTCTTGAGTTTTAAGTGATTTCATGACCTGTTCATGACCTTGATCTAAGTCAGTGACAGATGGGTCGTACTATTACCAATCTCAGTGGAAAATGTTGAGGTGTGTCAGGGCTACATTTTGATGGGAATTATAGTGGTGATACTGAAACAAACCCAGGTCCTGGTAATATACAAAGACCTGAATTAACAAAGAGGTCAAGTTGTTATTAAAGATACATCAAGCTCTACTCAGATTTATGAATGCCGTTTCTTGAGCATGTAAGACACATAGTTTGATTGCACTTGTGTACTCTGAGATTTTGGACCCAGGTGAATGAAAGTTTCCAGTTATCCGATTAAGGAAAATCAATTTATGATGAGTTGTACCCACATAGAGTATATATTAATTCAACTGTTTGCAAATGTATTATTTTAACATAAGTATTTTATAATTAAATAACGGGGACTGTGACATTCATGTCTTGTTTTTTTTTTTTTTTTTTTTTTTTTTTTTGAAATTATCATTCAACATAAGACGCTTTAAAATTAAACGTAACATAGAGACAAATCAATTCCGAATATTCTGTCGTCACCTTTTTTCGCCGTCGTCGAGCCTTGATGCGATATGGCCTCAAGACAACATATCACGTCAACGTTCGGACTAAGCGGAAAAGCCTATGCTGTCAGTGAGGTCTAGATGAATGAACAAACATTGAAATGGCAGACAAATGTTTCAGTGATGAACCACGTCAACCCAGTAAAAGACACAACTCTTATTTGAAAAAAATAAAACCGAGAAAAGCTTTAAATCTAAATATTATAGACAGTGCGTTTTGGTACACCAGTGAACTCATAATGGTAATCGAAACAAAGTACGTTTCAATGTCATACTCTACACCTATGTTCGCGGTTGGGTTCTATTTCTAGAATAATTACAGAAATTTACACACAATGCAACATTGTAATCTAGTGTTATTTTATGTAAATTAATAACGCTTTCCTTTTCGAAATGCAAGAATATATAATTAAAACACTAAGAACATCATTCAATACACACGTTGTTTACAATCAATTTTATTCTCGGTCAATGTTTGTCGGCGGCATTGAACTTAACAATGTAGTGTTAGGAGATTGAACTGTTTGGTGTATATCGAATTTCCTGGATTTAAATTGTTATTTTTCAGTTTGAAAAGAAAAGTGGTAAAAGAGAAAACTATTAGCGTATATCGATTTTTCTGGGTTTAGAATATGTAAGGATGCATGTTCACATCTCTTTTATTTCAAATAATTGTTTTGTCAATTCTGATTTATACATTTTTCGAAATGCAAGAATATATACTTAAAACACTAAGAACATCATTCAATACACACGTTGTTTACAATCAATTTTATTCTCGGTCAATGTTTGTCTGCGGCATAACGCCATAACGCCATAAGTTACAACGTTTGAGGTATAAGGAGTATTTTCATCCTACCATATTAGGAAATGCGAATTCCAAATATTGAATTATTACGCGCGTAAACGTCCTCTAATAATTAAAACAAACATGGCTGTCACCAAGGTTTGACCGGACTCCACACAAAGAAGTTCGTTGATTCTGTTCTAAACATTTCGCATTCCGGTATTCGCGTGATGTATCCTTGGAAAGAAAAGATGTATAATAATAAGGTTATTACGAGAATACCTCAAAGTATGCACGAAGACAGTACAATGACCTCATATTATATGAAAATTCATTATAAGATTTTCTAATACAACTAGGTGTGCGTTCTGCTAGGTGTGCGTTTTACTGTACGGTTTGACATATTCAACCTAGAGAATCCAACACTTTGCAACACATGACAGCAAAAAATATGAACCTATAGGATATATCCCAAGCTGAGTAAATGGTATAAATTAAAATGAATGAATGGTAAAATTTTCAAAATGTTATATTATTTCAAATTTCCGCTACTGGTTAGACTTGCATGCAATCTTGTGTTTGTTTTAGTTTATTGGTGTTTTTTTCAATAAAATAATAATATATGGGAGTGTATAAATGGCGAAAGCCAAGACGTAGACGTAATGCTATGCTGTCGAGTATCAATTGTATTTTTGCGTGATTTCTGGAGCACTCTGTCGTTTGACGAATATTTTACTGTTGCTTGGTGACGATGTGTTTACTGAATAATGACACTTTCTATAATTTTGAATAACTGCCCTATGTATATTATTACTCCAATAACCTATCTGATTCCTTAGTTCCATATACAATCTTGAATATGCTCAGATACGATAACGCAGAATTGTCTTTACAACAAATCATTTTAATTTGCGACAAGAGATCATGTACATCAAGAGAATTCAGAACAAACTAAAGCGATTTATGTTTATTAAAAAGTTTATTCTTGAGTTCGTCGACACCACATATGGATTCCTGAATCACCCGATACGTGTATGCAAGTCTATGATTGGATAATTGAACCCACGTCATGATTTCATGTGAATAGTCGAAGCACACACAGTTTCGTGATTTTGAATTTTGAATTTCTGATTATTTTAACGATGAACTTGTCTCATAATTTTGCTAGGGAACAGTAATACGTATTTTTTGAATGTCCGTTTTTGGCGTAAATTAGTTGTCACATCGGGGGAGTGGATTGTAAAGCCGGTCACTGTCACTGTGCTGTGTGCATGAAGTTTCTCGCCCAAACATTGGGCCGGATAAACTTGCTTTTGAGTCCTAATATCGATTTTGACATTATGATTGAAACCTACCATTGGTGGGCTGATTTTTTTTTGTCACACCGCATTTTATTAATGTGAAATTGGGTGATTTTTATGGTGCTCGATCGTAAATGCAAATGGCGACGATTTGCAATGACAATGTAGGATATTCAGTGCTAAAAAGTTCATCTATACAAAAAATTGAAGAATTGTTTTATACTGGTGTATCGAATAAAGTCATTAGTTGTTGTATAGTTGACTTGAATTGTTATGAACCCCAAGAATAAAAAATATCATAGTTTTATATAAAAAAGGGCACAGATTTTTCGATCGAACACGTTAACATGAATGACGCCATTTAGACAAGATTTATTTAGCAATGTCAGCATGTTGGTACGCGCTATTTCTTCCCTATTAAACTAGAAGATAAACATTATTCCCAATATTAATCTTTACATGGCAGGAACTGATTGTTTCTAAGTTGGTAGGCTGGTTTTGATACATATCAGGATACAAAAACGTAAACTTTCATCGTGCTAGTTTTGTTTACATGTTTTGTTTACGCTGTAGATGCTTTTAACTTGAGGTAAAAGTGAAGTCATACAATGAGGTAATGCTTTGCATGACGGTAAATTTGCTGATCTTAATGAATATTCTGATGGTATCATAATCTGTTTGTGGTCTTACGTTTACTTTGAGATATTAACGCCCTCCAGCGTCAGAAATCGGCTGGAGTGTATTTAAAACAC